GAGGGCAGAGGGTGCTACTCAAATAAAGTCAATAACTATAACCAAAAGAGGACTTTTACTAACCAAAAGAGGACTTCTACGAACCTCAATCGCATTTTTAGTTACGAAACCTTAATTGAGATATTACAGTAACAGTCACTGTGTTGGTACTAATGTGGGGAAAAAAATGGAATTGCAGAGAGTCTGTATCTTAACAGAACTGTTCGTCCCAAAATGAAACTTGTGTTTATCTTTGAACTTCTAGAAGAACAGAGACATGTTGAGGAATCCACCATATCTGTTTTCATGCATGTCTACTATTTGTATATGGAAACATGGAAACTGGACTGATGCTCACACCACATACCAAATAAGTGTAACTGTGCATAGAAGAGATAAACAGTGGGCAGTGGACAGTGAGGAAGATGGTTCACTGTCAAGACTCATGAGAGCAGAACAGCATCTTAGCTTTAGACAGAATCAGAACGTTTTATAAACAGAAAGCTCCCATAAATCCAACTAATTGGCAACACACTAATAGTTTATCAAAAGCATAAGACCATGAACAAGATATAGAGGCATGTTATCAGGACAATTCTAAAAACATGAAGAGTGTGCTCAGGTTCACTGACCCCCTACAGCTACTCCCTGCACACTCTGGCTCCTGTTGCTCGGTCATGTGGAGGGTTCCATGCAAGTGTTACTCCAAACCCAATGGCATTAAGTAGCAGTGGATTATAAAGCCCTTGAAAAGTGGGTGAGCATCGATGCAGACGTACTAATTGCGCTCCTTGTAAGTGTAGCGCCTGTTTTGAGTCCAGAGTGGATTAAGCTCCACACACCTACCAATATGAATTCCTTGTGGGGATTTAAGAAGTACACCTCAGTTACAGAACGAATTAAATAAAGTGTCTGTTGTGTAATGTAAAAAAGAGACACGAGCAGCAATATGTTTGAAGGCAGAATCTATGGAGTAATGTCTTGTTGTGATCAGTGCATATAACTATAAATGCATGTTTTGCCACAGGCAGCAAACGTCTCTGTAGCTGTGATACTTAAAGAATATAAAGCCTGGAGATCCTGTAAAGCCCACCCGAGTGGAGCTTGCACTGATTTTTGTGTCTGAAACACAGAAAACCTCAAAATGTTCTCTGTATTCTGAAGGGGGAAATAATGTGTCTCTGCTGCCACATTTCCAACGTGACTCTGATTGGCTTGAGGGGACACAATAATTATGGGTCAAAACAAGGTTACATATTTGTTGCTGGCTGACTAAGAGGCGACTGCATCATTTATGGGCAACAGCATGTTTACAGTGACCTTGTTGAACCTGTCTGTCCTCATATCACTCCTACACACAGTCAGACAGCCGTTCGCTGTCTGTACTGAGGGGTCATGTGTACAGTCACAGCAGTACGCTCAGGAAAATATAAACTAACAACATCTGCTATATGTTGAACTCGTGCTGTTCTGGATAGATTGGTGACCTGTCCAGGGTGCCCCATGCCTTCACCCTGAGTCAGCTGGGATAGGCTCCAGTGAGGATTAAGCGGTAAATAGATGATGGATCGATGTTCTGTGTGATATTTTTTTCATGTGATTTGCTTGTTCTTCACCTGTCACATGACATCAGCTTTTACTTCTTTAGATCATCAAATTCAATTGCAATGGCTATAGGATAATTTTTTCTTTTCCTTTTTTTTAACCTCAAATGTGCTTGTTTAGATTTTTAGATGTATTTTAGTCAACAGATACACTTACTTTTTAGTCTTAATTTTTTTATGTTAATTTTTGCCCAGTCTGTGTTTATAAGAGATGCCCTGTGTTGTTTAGGATTGGATTATGTAATGTTTCATTATCATTGCAACAGTATTTATTATGGATAGACCTTACTGAGGATTAAGCGGTGTATAGATAATGGATGGATGGATGGATTATATTTATTAACCAATTAACAATAAACTAAATACACTACCTACTTTGGCCCTGATGCAGTTGCCTTTCTCTGTCTGTGGTCACTCTGAGGTCTCAGCAATGTCCTGCCCGAAGCTCGATTTACTAGTTATGGCTTTTGTCACAAGTAACAGCGTCATCACTGAAGGCTACTGAGTACAGACAAGGACAGACAAGTACACTTGCATGGCAGAGTAGCTCTGGTGAGTTAGCAGAGGTGTGTTAGGTAACAGCTACTGTTTCCTAGTTACACTGAAAATACTCAAACAATTGAGTTGGTGGTGCAGCTGGAACTTATTTTGCTGACACCATGTTGTATCTTTTATGAAAACATAACCTGTTGCCATTTTTCAAAGGTCCCAGACCCTTACACCTCCCTGAAGAGGCTGCCATCTTCACTGCTATGACTAGGATGAATGAAGCATTTTTGTGTTACATTTCATGTTAGGTCAAATTTGGTAGAGCTACAGTTGAAATTTTTAGGCCAGGTTCAGCTGCATCAGGGCCACAGAATTATTGTCAAAAGACTTATTCACTTCATAACTGCACTTATGAGTGGGCAGAAGAAAAAATTCGGTTTTTATTGGAGTTTTTCAAATTCCACTCTGATCTGTTGATCTAAACACAACAAACTTATTGTTAAACTTAAAACCTGTACAAAAAAAAACAGACACTTGCATGGATCAGCAGTATTTGGTGAATTAGTCAGTAACTGTAATTGACCATCAACACACTTCATATAACCAATCAAAGTAGCAGATACCTCAATCACTGTCCTGCCTCCAAAGTCTCAAAAGTCAACGTAATGAGTGAGTTTAGTGTAGCTGTGAGTGCGTGAGGATAGTAAAGTGAGCATCGTCCCACCCAGCACAGAAATCTCCCTCACAAAGATGTGTTTTCCACTCAAGACAAATGTGCCTTATTTGTTTAATCTGAACATCAACAGAAATGTAGAAATAGCAGTTCATAGTTCTACAGGGAGGTGTGGTACATGCTGAAGCATTGAGAGCACTTTAGGGTTCATTGTTGCTCAATAACACTTGGCCATGTTGACAGAAGGTGGTGGTGGGGATCACACCACCACCCACTACAATCCATTAAGACATGATTTATAAACCTTTTGATAATAGTGTTTCTGAGTCCAAGCCTTCTACTTTTACTCCTTGCTGCGTTCCTTGCTATTTGAATAGATCTGAGTCCAAAAAGACTATTCAACTGTCAGTCTACCAGTATCTAGCAAAGGATGCATTCCACATCAGAGTGGAATACATTTTCCTACACCCAAAATAACAAGGCTGTCATATGAAGCTGCTTGTCTGCTCATTTGGGCACTTAGAGGTACTGCAACCTACTGACTGATCCTAAACATGCAATTATACTGAAAACAATGTCACCCTCACTCTAAAGTATCTAAAAGACATCGCCAGTGGTGTCAGCGCTAATGCTACTTCTGTAGCTAGATAGGAGGTGGCAGATAACTATATGTTAACTAGCCTCACTTCATTAACCCTCCAAAACCTGGCTGCTACATATTTAGTTTCTTATCTTTCTTTATGTCCAAAGTTGCAGCAGGCTTTTAAACTTTTATCGTTTTAGGAATACCACAGCCATAACATGGTATATTATCTTTAAATGTAAACTAGAACTTTACAGCAAACGTCTAACTCCCCTCAAACTTGTATGTCTTTGTTTTTATGGTGCTTGGCTTACATCCTGGTAGAACAGCAACATTAATCTTTCTTTTTAAGCCTCAATAGTTTTAGGCATTAACAGCAACCTGAGGATGCTTTAAAAAATAACAACATGCTATAAACAGTCAAATATGACCACATATACTCTTTTTCCTGGTGTTTGTTAGAAAAGGTACATTATTTTAAGTGCACCTATGGACACTAAGTCATGGGTTAGGCTTAGATATGTAGATAATGACAGAATAGGAAATAATGTCAGTGTTCCCGATTATAACATCACAATTCATGTCTTTCTAAAATTGTTTAAATAGGTAATTTCACAATATCATGATGAGCAGCTGCAATTAAACAAATCACACACAAAATGTGTGGGCAATTAAATCTGACTTACATCTGTTAAACTTCAGACAGACAGACAATTTTAATTCACTTACAAACAATGTTTGCAGTTCCATTTGAAAACTTCTTATTTATTTTAGCTGCATTCTTGGGCAGATATGGTATCCACGGCACCAGTACTATTCTGACACTATTTTCTTCAGATCAAATTGTATTTGTGGTTGATGATTTGTCAGCCAGAAATAACTGATGCAACACAGTGACCAAATCCTGGTTCTTATTCATTTAAAAATAAAAATCTAATTGAAAGCATTCAGACTATGAGGAGAAATGATTCTCCTCACCTGCTGTTTTTATTGTTACTGGTGTAAAATTATGATAAATCTGCCTGAATAAACAGCAGGTACAGTTTAGACACACCTACTCAATCAAAGGTACGAAGGTTAAACAAACCAAAATATGTCAAATATTTTTGATTTTTTAAACTACAGTAACAAGTGGCAGTATGCTCAATTTTAAATCTTAAACGAATGCACTCTCTCAGGTATACAGTCACAGCCACCAATCATGCCAGCACTCACCAATAAATATAATATAACACATAGAGATAGAGGGCTGCACAGTCGCCTCACCGCTAGAAGATCCCTGGTTCGAGTCCCAGTTAGGACTGCTGTAATCTTTCTGCATGGAGTTTGCATGTTCTCCCTGTGCAGCGTGGGTTCTCTCCAGCTTCTTCCCACAGTCCAAAAACATGCTGAGGTTAAGTGGTGATTTTAAATTGTTTGTAAGTGTGAATGTGAGTGTGCTTGGTTGTCTGTCTCTAAGTGTGGCCCTGTGATAGACTGGTGACCTGTCCAGGGTGTCCCCTGCCTTCACCCTGAGTCAGCTGGGATAGACTCCAGCTCAGACTCTAGTGAGGTTTAGATTAGATTAGATTAGATTAGATTAGATAGAACTTTATTGATCCCTTTGGTAGGATACCTCAAGGAAACAAGTGGTTTATAGATATGGATGGATATATAAATAGTCGTCTTGTTTATTGAGGGGCAAAAATATTCCAGCTCAGCTTAACGTGTTTGGAAAATAAAAAGAGATATTCACTTTATCTGTGAGCAGTCAGAATATTTTGGGCATAGTAGTGTTTCCAAGAAGCTGGATTAGTTTGCTATGTCAGACTGTTTCATACGGTTTGTAACGTTGCATTATTAAACAAAACAAAATGTTCCCTTTATAAAACTGCATGTAAGACATTGCATTCCTTATGGTCACATTGAAACATTATCGTTCGTGACTGAAACACAGTTGAAAGCAGTCAATCTGCATCAGCACTACAGGATTAAAACAACACCAAGAAAACTAAAGAAAACAAAGAAAAAGAAAGCCATGAAGTAGACTTTGGGCTCACTCACCCTTCCCTCTGTGTTTGTAGGTCTGCCATAGCGATTGAACACATGTGCTGGGTCTTTATGATAAGCCTTCAGAAATGATTGTGGTGTGATGTTTCTACAAACGGAACACACAAGGTGGCAGTTCAATATGTGTGTCAACACCTAAAAGAAAAAAAATGGCTGGGACACTCAATGTTATGCAGAATCACCTTTCACACAGGCATGTAAGGCAAGCCATTTTAACATTAAATAGCTGAGTTTGACCATCTGGAATCAAATTCTAGTCATCAATGACATAATTTTAATGTTTCACCTGTAAAAATAATATTTGCCGATATGCCAGTAGTAATTGTTACAAGTCTGAATTGTTGTACGTGATGCTGCTTAGTGAAAACCTAATTTAATGCCTCTAAAATAAACAGTATACAAATGTTTAAGTCGATTTAAAAAAATGTGAAAACTAGAATTATGACTAGTCAGAATTAAACTGTAGATAGAGGAAACTGTCATAATTAAATTACAGATATTCCCCATTCACATTATGTGAGTGGGAAATCATATACAAGATAAAAGAAGGTAGATTGCACAAAACCATAGGATTTCTGGAAACAGTGAAAGTAATCAGCACTGCTCACTCATTTTTGTTAAGCTGGAGAAAGTTGCTAATACTAGAGAAGCATTACAGGCTGTCTAACAACCTTTGTACTTTAATTGGATAACGTTATATGAATCTAGTCACAAACAGATAATTTCCAGGATATTGTTAAAAACTTATTGCCACTTTTGTTCTCTAAAAAGCCAAATTTAAGAGCTTTTCATGCTTAGTGGAATTGAATTTAAAAATAATGTAGCACCAAAATAAAGCTGTTTCTAAATGAATGTGAACATGCAAACATTATGAATGAGTAGAAAAGACAGAAAACAATTCAGTTTGTCTGTGCATTTATACAGTGGCAAGAAAAAGTATGTGAACCCTGAAATTTCCTAGTTTTCTGCATTAATTGTTCATAAAATGTGATCTGATCTACATCTAAGTCACAAGTATAGACAAGCACAATGTGCTCAACATAATACCACACAAACAATTATATTACTTCATGTTTTTATTGAACACATCCATTAAACACTCATAGTGCTGGTGGAAAAAGTAAGTGAACCCTTGAGCTAACAACTCCAGCAAGAGCTAATTGGAGCCATGTGTTAGCAAACCTGGAGTCCAATCAATGAAACGAGACTTGACTGAGATGTAGAGCTACTGTGACCTATAAAGAGCACTGAAACTTTTTGAGTTTGCTATCTACAAGAAGTCAGAGCCCAGACCTGAACCCAAAAGAGATGCTGTGGAATGACCTAAAGAGAGCCGTTCACAGCAGACATCCGAAAAATATGGCTGAGCTGAAGCAGTTCTGTTTGGAAGAATGGTCTAAAATTCCTTCTGAACATTGTGCAGGTCTGATCCGCAGCTATAGGAAGCGTTTAGTTGAGGTTATTGCTGCCAAAGGAGGTTCAACCAGTCATTAAATCCAAGGGTTCACTTACTTTTCCACCAGCACTATGATTGTTTAATGGATTTGTTCAATAAAGACATGAAATATTATAATTGTTTGTGTGGTATTATGTTGAGCACATTATGCTTGTCTATACTTGTGACTTAGATGTAGATCAGATCACATGCTATGAATAATTAATGCAGAAAACTAGGAAATTTTAGAGGGTTCACATACTTTTTCTTGCCACTGTATGTATGTATGCACATGTCACTCCATCATTCATTCTTTCCTATAAGTATAATAATCCAGGAAGCATACACATTTGCATATTTGAGAATACCAGTTGAGCTGCTAAGAAGTGGCCCTCACCTGACGTCCTCCATGTTGTAGTAGACATTGCGACATGTGTCTTTAATGTAGATGGCCATGTTGGGAGATTGCAGCATCTTTAAGGTGAGCTGATGGGGGAAGGCAGCGACAAACAGAGCCCGCAGAGTGTCTTGAGTGCTGATTTCAGCAGGCATCCTGACCTGCTTCGTCTCCTCCCCATACTGCAGGTACAGCACACCTGACAAAGCACACACAGGCAGAGAGTATATGAGCTGGAACAGGACTATACAGTGTGACTCATACATGCACCATGTCTGACATATGAGAGCTAGACTACAAGTATCTGACCTCTTACTAGAGCAATAAACTGATTCAGCACTGCACTGTGCTCAAAATGTGTTTTATTTTTCCTCAAGAGATACTCTCATATTTAGGGGCTGCTAAAAAATGTTTTACAGTTGAAACTAACACAATGTTATTTGAACAAAGTTTAAAGACAAATTACTGTGCTCATAACTCAGTGTCATCTGTGGTACACTACCGTCAACCATTCTCTTAACGTACCATAATATACATGAGGTAAAAAGAAGACACCATTAAATAAAACCGAGGAGAATGAAACACATCTCTGGAGTATAATGACAACTAAAGTATCACAAAGATGTGATTTGATGGAAGAATCACTTTTATTTTTTCATTTGCGGTTTAAACATTTATATTTGTATTATTGAGTTATTCAGGCTGATTAGACCTGCCTTTAGCTTGACAGTGTGGTTACTGAGGTCACTTGGTGCAACAAAACGAACAGGAGATTAAGAGAAAAGATAATCAAACAAACCAAACAAAAAACCTGTGTGGATGTATTAGTTCTGTTTGGTTTTCTGTTAAAGCACATAAGTCTGACTGTCTAGCAAACTAGTGGAGTGGCAGCAGACACTTTGACTTGTCATATCAGTAAAAGTGATTTTGGTAATGATGCCTCAGTTCCATCAACTATCCCCATAAGCTGTGACTAACCAATAGTCATCGAGCTTAAGCTGTCAATCACAGAGGGAGACAGCGTCTTCCAGAAGGGGGTGGAAACAGCAGCTGCTCATTGGTTTTCTGAGCAAAGACTGAAATAAAAAGAATTGCAGTATTTCGAGCTGAAAAACTAGTGGAGACATTCAGGATTGATCTATTTCCTAAAAAAGCGGCATAGTATAAGACCTCAAAAGTGTATAGTTGCACTTGTGTCAAAATGCTTCTTGTAAAAAAGACATATTGCACTGGAAGCATTCAGTGACAAAGAAACTGCACATATTTCAATCTACATAAATGCCCTCTTCAACAAATTAATTTGTGTATGTGTGTGTGTGTGTGTGTGTGTGTCTACCAAGCGATCTCTCTCTTGTCTCACTGCTTGAGCGACCCACGGGTAGACTTGCTCTGGCTTTACAGCCCCTTGCAAAGGGGACCGATGGGGGCAGCACCTCCCCATCAGACATGCTGTCTGAAGCTACAGGGTCCTGCTCTTCCACCAAGTCTGACACACCTGTGCAGGGAGGACTTTTAGAAGGTCGGTGACTCCTCATCTGGAGGCAATAAAAACAGAGAACACACTGAGAACATATTGGAAGATGGTACAGAAGCATTTCTGCTAAAAGCAAAATCTTAAGATTAATATAATAAATTATCGTCATCGGGCTTGAAATCTAGCTAGAACATCTCCGAGGCTGGTCATTCTACTCTGTATCCTTATATACAACTTCCTGAGGCAGTGAGCAAGAGCTGGCAAAAACAAGAACAACAAAAATATTACAAATTGTAATGTGGAAAAAATAGCGGTTTTGCAAGATTTGGCCAGTGTCTACTTATGATCACTTCAAATTTCATTTTCCATCCATCCATTTTCTGTTGCCGCTTGATCCTTTGCAGGGTTGTGGATATAGGGTGAAAGGCAGGGTACATCCTAAACAGGCCACCAGTCAGTTAGTCTGACTCACTGGATTATGGTTGCAGGTATAAACCTTCCTTTTGCTGATCATTTCAGTCAGCATTCTCCGTGTGTTACCGTATTCTTCACCCCAGAAAACAACAATCATAACCTCCAGGCAGCAACCGACTATGCAGAAACTGAAACTGAAAGCTTTGCTGAGGATTTGGATAGTTCAGTAAGACTGCTCTGCTAGTCTAGTACTCTTTCGGTGGATTATCTCCTTGAATCACAGTTCTTGAGTGCAGCTGCATACTTCACTTAGCCCAGCCCACTATGGCCTACTCTGTCTGTGAGGTTCACCATCTGCCCTGCACTGTACTGATCTATGGCTTTCTTGGTGTGCTACCTGCAATGTAAGAAAGTCTTTTACACCTGATCATTTGTGTGTAATTCGTGTGATAATATAGTTTAGTCCAAGCTTTATATAATAACCAAAGCAGATGTTGTTAATGATGAACATTTTATTATGCTGCAGTTTTACAAAAAAGTAAACAAGCAAACTGGTATATCCTATGTCCAGGATATTTTTGTGTGTGTGTGTGTGTGTGTGTGTGTGTGTGTGACTGCCTATTTGTATATGTGTAAAACAGTGAGTTGATCTGAGGTGAGTAGTGTGATGTGCATTTCCTCTTGGCAGTCTCAACTTGTGACATGGTCCTGTAAGTACATGCTCATCTCTGCACGGCTACTAAACTGATGCTTGAAAGCTGACGTGCAGAAAAAAGATGCACACAGACACTCGCACGCAGGCGCACATAACCACTGAGTCACTATACTATAATGATAAGGTTCACATATACACAGAACTCAGCAACACGCAATGTGTATCTGTTATGCTGCTCAGCATTATTGGACATCATTTGTAAAGATGCTAAAAATGAAGAAACCGCATATTGGGATCTGGCCCAGTGTTGAGAATACTGAACGTAGCTGCAGTGGTGGTATGTGAATGATGATATATCTGAGCAAATGGAGGGAGAGTGTGGGTGTGGTGTTGAAGCAGGTGTTGCAGCTTAGGCTCAGCAGTGATCAAATCAAATCAAATCAAGTTTATTGTCATTTTGCTGTACATACACAGTAGTACAGGCAAGATGAGAGAGCGTTTCTTCAGGATCATGTAATTAGTAAGTTTTGGGGAATGAACATCTGGGATAGGCAAGACACTAAACCTCTCTCTGTCTCCTGAAGGGCCGCTGTGTCCATACGTGCCAACACTACGTTGAACATGGCAAACCTCTTCAGGTCCTGCTAGGTCTTCAGGGACACAAAGACACACAGTATAAGGGGATATAAGGTTTTATAGGACACAGTTTTGCAAGATTCAAGATTAATTTTATTGTCCCAGGCATGAGAAATTTGTCTTGCGCTACTCACCCATGCTGCAGTCAACACAAACAGACACAAACAGGAAAAACACCATTTGTTTCCAGGATGAGAACATTTTGAAGTGCCCCCGTACACTGGCTTAGAATGTCTTAGGTAACTTTAAAATATTAGTCAAGCTATTCTTTCTTTGCTTACTATTTGTCTGGGATGTGTGGCTGTTCTGATGAAGTGCTTTTGAGCTTTGTCTAAATTTCATTTCCTTAACATAGATTATCCAGAATTCCAACTCTGTTAGAGTTTCACTTATCATGTTATTCAATAAATAACTTTCATTTGTGGCAGCTGAAGTTACCCTAAAGCTGGCATTTTTCATTCTAGTGGGTGACAAAGATGGTGATGTGGAGTGGGGTTTGGCAGAGCTACTCAGGGTGCCTACCTACTAACAAAGCCAGGGAACTACAATTCAAAGTCATACATCAGCTTCAAATTACCCCGGTGAGACGCAACAAGCTTAATCCTGTGCTTTCAAAATACTGTGGCACTCCCCCATGGACATGGTCTCCCCCAGCAGGACAATGTCACTTAGCACACCATAAAAACTACCAGAACAGCTCACAGAACCTCAAGCTCAAAGAGCCTTGGGCAATGACCAGGCGTCCAAGCTCCCAAGATTCCAATCCAATTAAGCATCATTGAGATGTGCTGGAACAAGCCTGATCCATCGAGGCCCCGGTGTCAGACACCACAGGATGCCTAACGGGCAGGGCTGTTTTGGCAGCAAAAGGGGGACCTACACAATTAGGCATGTGGTTTTAGATGTGTGACAGATTAGTGAATGTCCCACACAATAGCACGCATGTGTGAATTGGGGTAAATTTGCATTTTTCTGTCCAAATGTGGTGTGCAAATGTTATGTGTAAAGACTCACTTTGAAACTAAGCATTACAAAAACTACAGAGAGGAGTCCACTTAGGCTCAGTCACTCAAGAGCACACTGTCGATATATGCACAGTAACCACAGACTTAAGAGCATTTATTGAGACTACCAGAGAGGTTTGCATTTGCAAAAGTGGCATTTTAAATAAACTCCAAATTTGTGTGTGTGTGTCTGTGTGTGTGTGTGTGTGGCTGACTGTATACACTTATGTATCTGAGGTTAAAAAAAAATAATTACAATGTTTAGAATTTAAAATTACAAAATAGATAACCTTGTAATAAAATGTCCTCTACAGACGCAGTTCTTAACAGCACCGTCAATCTGATTAATGCAGAATACCACAAGTAGCTGTTTGATTTAATCCAAATGGTTAAGTGGTGTGAAAATGCAGGAAACCTATTTTAATTTTTTTTTTTCTTGGAAGCATCCCCAGATCCCTCATCAATAGTGAGCGAGTCTTTCCAAGTTTGCTCCCCCATCTTAAAGCACAACCAGGCACCTAATAGTACCTTCCATAATAGCAGAAGCGGAAGTAAACAGACTGATTATCATCACTCTGTATTTAAAAGCAGTCAGGGTGACTCAACAAACTATATGCTGACTGCATAAAGGATAAAAATTGGATTGCCAGAGGCATTAAAATCCAAAAACATGAAAAGCTCACACTCATTGTTGTGCATTCCTGTTAAACCCCTCTAAGTGTTTCTGACACACAGTTTGTTCCTACCTAAAAAGACAGCATTGGGTCTGAGGACTGCTAATTACAGACCTGAGGGAAGTTGACAAGCCGGATTTCTTGGCCCCCACACTGTAGTCTGAGGAAAAGGACTGATGATGGTTTTTAGTGCAGTCACGTGGACCTGTGCTGAAGTCACTAAACATGAGTCATGGACCAGCGGTACAACACTTCCTTGTTCAGTAGTATGAAGCAACCATCTTGAATGATAACTTAATTTTGAAAAGGCAAAGCAAAGACTATTCTTCTCAAGGAAACTAATCCTCATTATTGACTGTTATATAATTCATTTGAATCCAGTATCAATCCCATTTTATCCCATCTGAATCCTCCCTCCTCCCTGTCTCAAGTGTTCATCAATTGCAAGTAACTAAAGTTATGTATAACTAATAGTTAGGGATTCTGTTCAGGTTAATATGACACTGGATGCTAAACCCCTGATGGATCCTCCTGAAGACAGTTCCAGCTTCATCAAGAGCTACTCTGAACGGCCTGCCAAAGGCAGAAGCAGCAAGTACAGAAGCACTGACTTAACAGTACTTAAAGGTTCTTAACGGATGAATTCCTGTGGTCAGCCTCACAAGAGTCCCTGCTCATCAGGGAACCAATTCTGCATGAGTCAAGTTTTAAAAATGTGTACCCAGCTTTACCTGTGAAGCTCTGCACTGGAAGCAATCCATCACCCACAATTATCTCCAAGTCAAATCCAAATCTGCCACAACCCATGTGAGTGATGGGTAAAAACTAGTGACCTAACCCGTGATACGATTACCCACTTCAAACTGCTTTATTTTATTTGCGCACTTAGAACATGTACAAACATGAATTCAAATCAATAACAACTATATTTTTTTTTTTGTAGAATCACTATGTTGCTACTCACTGAATTGACATTTATTTGTCCTTGAGGTTGCTGAGCAAACAAAAAGTATCATCCACAGTCCCTAGTTACGCTGGATTCTCTGATCTTAAATCAGTAATCTAGCCAAGGGAAGGCCAGTATTCAGCCTCGTCCTCAGCTTCCTTTTGCAAGGATAGTGTCAAACAGAGGTGTTTGAGGTCCTCAAACCACACAGCGGTCAGATGAAAAGTCACAGCTGCATATCCAAAGTAAATATACTGCTGCTGTAAGGATGCTGCACATTCTCTGCACGCAGACAGACAGGCAGGAGCTGGACACACAGACAGCTCAGGCACCAGTGTCAATCAAGCCCTGTACCAGTTTGCCAATTCTATCATCACAAACAATTTTAATCAGATGTCAAACCTTTTTACTAACTGGGTTACAGTCTCCTTCTCTTTTAGTGTTCTTGGAAAAGTAACTGTCAACTGGTACAGCACAAGTACTCCTGCAGCTTCAACAATTTGCTGAGCTTGCAGAAATCAAAAGCTTATAGTTTTTGCCATTTTTGACAAGCAGGAAAGCCACTGACGTCATTCTCTCCATCACAAAATAAAAACATTACAAAAAGTGTTTGTTTCTCTAACATGATTCTTAAATACCAGTTTTAATGACACTAAACTAAATATACTGTTTGACTCATAAGAGGCATGTGGTAAATTTGTGAAGACCAGGAAAGAGCATTCCATAGTTGTA